CGGACATTCACCTTGAGCTGGAGGACCATTGCTGGGGTCAGTGCGGCCAGTCGCTGGGGTGAGTCCTGGGCGGACCTGACCTTTGCCCCGAGTTCCACCTCCTTCCTCCTCCCTTGTGCGCTCCTTCCTTGCATGCTTCCCCTTCTCTGCATCAAATTTCATCCCGGGGTCCTTCCGGGCCGACCTCCCGCGCCACCCCAGGCCCTCCTTTTTCCCATCCGATGGCTCTCCTTTGCCTTGCTTACTTGCTCTGAGTTGCTCGCACGCAGCCCAACATGCGCCATCGCTGCCAAGGCGGAGAAGCTGAACAAGCCCAAGAACAGCGAATTGGCTGCGAGCACCTTAAAGGAGAAGAGAGCGGCAAGCGTGTAGCCGATGATTGACGCCGGGCTGCTGATAGCCTAACGCGACTCGCCCGGCCGAGTAGCGCATGCGCGTCATGGTAGGTCACCAGTGGTAGTCTAGACGATGATCGGATCAGTGAAGTACTGGCCGCATGTAAGCCATTGAAAGATTCTCCAGCCTGGCAGGCTCGCCGGACTGACTCGCTCTCGGCCGGCCTGCCATTCCGGCCCGCCGGCCCGGGTTGGAGTTCACTGTCCGACAGCAATCCGCCGTCACTGTGACCGCGGAGGGGGGGCGCGCCGCGGCTGAGGAGTCGGGCTGCCACTGCCAGTCCGACGGTCAGGAGTCGGCACCGACGGTGAGTGCCGCCGCGCGGCCCGCCGTGATCGGATTCCGCGGCGCCGTGACAGTGAATCGGACTGGCAGCGCCAAGTGACTCAGTCGGAATGGCCCCGGCCGGTACTAAATTCAAATGATTTGTGACTCAGTCCGCCGATCATCATGCTAAGCCCGGGCCGCACCGTGACTCGGACCGTCACCGGGTGATCGGACCGTGTGACCGTGCCACTGCCAGGAAGTTCAATTCCGACATGATCCTCCGAGGCGGCTCCCCCGGCGGGCCCAACTTGGCCCCCGGGCGGCTCGGTCCTGACTCGCCGCGGAGTCCGAGTCCGGGGCCGGCGAGAGGCTGGCCGCGGCCCACTGCCAGCCTGGAGTGCGGGCCCCCGGGCCGGGCCCGGCGCTTCAGTTCAGAGTCGGAAGGCTTCAACCGGGACTCAGCCGACGGGCACTGGAGTGTGACTAGTCACAAGTTTTTCAGACGGTCACTTGAAAGTTTCAGATGCGCCTCCATGATTTGTAGGCGGAATTGTTGACGAACAAACAAGTCGTGGAGGAGGGCGTGCAATCCGTTGCTCCTTCCGGGCAAGCTTTTCCGTCACTCTCCATGAGCATGCGTAGCAGAAGCGTCAGGATCTTGCTTCTTGCACTACTGCAGTGTGCTTCATGCTTCATTCTGCCGGGCCCGGGAGGTGTCAGCCAGTGCTCAACAAGATCGTTCTTGACATGCCGCAGCATGCACGATAACAACGAGAAGGAGATGTGGTACGAAGAAAGAGTGTCTGAGAATCCCTCCAACGTAGAGAACCTGATCAAGTTTGCTCATTTCCTGCAAGGCATTGGTAAGTACGATCGAGCAGCGAAAATGTACAGCACAGCCCTGCAGTTCGATTCGGAGGAGGCAAGGAGGCAATCGTACGAAATTACAAACAGCAAAAATGCCTCCATCGAGATAAGATCCTGGGAGAAGACAGAGATCGCAAACTTGTTGGAATACAACACACTTTCACAAGAATGGTCAGCAAGGAAGGTCTTGCTAAGGTGGGAAAGTAGCAAACCGTACTCTGTGGGCGGGCAACGGGAATGTAAGAGGCTCAAGCTTTCTCAACTGGATGCCCTTAACTTGGTTGAGAGCGAGCAGCTCTCGAAACAGTTCACGACCGGGCTGACCAGTGGAGGAGGCGAATGCGAGGAGCATGTCAGGGATTACTTCCGGGAGGTGTTGCAGCAGGTCAGGCGAGCATGGATACTTTCAACCATTTCTTAATAGCTGACTCGCTCCCAGCATGTCGCGCAGATGTTCGCGGACGAGTTCAACTTGCAGTTGGGGCAGGAGGGAGCCAAACAGGAAGTGAATTTTCTTCCGGTGAAAGTGCTCAAGCTCAAGGACGGGATGGCCTCAAACGTTGAGGCCTTCTTGGAAGGGGACTACAGGAAGCACAACGACAACTTCGGACATGTAATGCCGTAGCTCTCTTCATCTACTGTCATCTACCTCCCTTCATTTAATCGATACCGCCTTCCTGTTGACAACAGGAGCAATGACTTCCCACGCAGGTGCTGACGACTGACATCATCCCTCCTGCCCTCTCCCACTTCTCCTGGAAGATTTCAAGCGGGCGGCTCATGCTTTGCGATATACAGGGTGTGGACTGCACTTACACTGATGCGCAGATCCATTCCAACCTCACATCAATGAACTTTGGCAGAGGTGATTACGGGGAGGTTGGCATGAAGAAATTCTTTGAGAACCACGAATGCAACGAGATCTGCAAGATGCTAAAGTTGGACCAAGGAGAACGTTTTTCTCATCCAAGCTTTTTCTCTTCGGGGGAGGGCTTACAAGCAGCTTTTGAAAGGATTGTGTTGCGGGGAGTAGATCTGTTTGTGAAGTTCTAGATCGCTGAGAGACTGGAGACTTTCGAAGTTCAGTAATAGACTGTACGGCGGCCCCGGCCACGTGTAGCATCATAGAAGTACTGCAAGTTCCGATGTTTGGATCACCGTGACGGTACGGCGTGGACTCGGGGGGGCGGCCCGGCCCTCCGAGAGGCTCGGAGTGACTGTGACGGTTCATGGTTCAACGAGACGCCGGTACCGTAGTACTGCGGCGGGCAGGAACTTTCCCAACTGAGTTCCGAACTTCTTTCCGAATTGTTCAATTCATGAGTCACCCCGCGGCCGCGCCGGCCGCCGCCGCCGCCGCCGCCGGGCGCGGCGTACTACTCAGGTGACGCCCGGGGACGGTCCGATCCGATCCCCAGGGCCCGGCGTTGAAGGCTACTAGCGGCTACTACTCAGTGTTGCCACGTGACTCTGATTGTCCTCGCACCGACGGTAGTACTGATTTTTAACTTAACTTTGAGTAAAAGGCACCGTGCCTCAGCGAGTGACGGAGCCTCGCGGCGGAACCGTTCAGGAACGGTTGACTCGGGCGGCCCCGGAGGCTCACTGACTGCCGTGGCCGAACCGTTCAGTGACTCGTGACTTGAAGCGGAACCCGGCGTAAGTAGGCTTTTGGCGAGTCAGTTCCGGATAAGCGGCCAACCTGCCTGAGTCACCGACTCGAGAGTCGGCGAGTCGGCCCTAGCCTCCCGAGTCCGACCTCGGAGTCCGGCCCCCGACCGTCGTACGGGAGTCATTCCATGTGATCGGAGTCTACCGTACGGTGCCACGGTGCGCGGCTCAGCCGCTCGTCGGGCCCGTTGAAGGCTTGTGACAAGCACTGACCGTCGCCGGACCAGCCCAGGCTACCGTACGGTACCGCCGGCGGGGTCGGCGGCCGGGGGCCGGTGCCGGGCACACGGTCCGACCGTCCGATCACAGGGTCCCGACTCGCGACTCCCGATCACTTCGGATTTGTGATTGGACCGCCGCGGCCGTCAACTGTTCGGCCGAGCCAACGTTTGCTTGGGCCGCCAATACTGATGAGTAAAGAGTCGATGACTGACTCTGTGAGTCGATCAGCCTGGATGCGGCTCAGCGCCGGGCCGGGGCGGCGGCGGCCGCCCGACTCGAGGCGGCGGCGCCCGGCAGCACTCAGTGCGCAGTCACTCAGGCTCCGGGCCCGGGGCCGGCTACGCCGTTACAGTTTGTGGAGATCTTGCGAGATATTGTAACCGTGAAGCACTTTTTAAAACTTAAAAGAGATGTGGTCCTAGCTTGCTCTTTTTACTCGTAGACATTCTAGAACCAGGTCGTAGAAGATTTTTATAACCCCGAAAAAGGGGTTAAAGGTACCCACCCCCTAGATCTGAGATAGACCCCACCCATGAAATTCGATTAAAGGACCCCTCTGATCACCGGTACCAAGACTGTACCTATGAAATCACGCACCTGCCTATATGCCAGACTTCGGTACCCCCACCTACATCCGTGCAAGGAGAACTTGAGGCCCCCGCCAACACCACCCCCACCCTCAAGACAATTCTGCTCTAATTAAGATCACCCCCGCTTACGTCAGCACACTGCAACCAAGTTGAGCACCCCTACCATTGCACCATTGAAACCTCTGGATACGGGTTCAATTTCATTGAAGCAGACCGGTAGGAAGAGGATTTTGAAGCACCCCACCACGATTTCCAACTCAATAGAATCCGTCGGGGTAGGCGGATTGCAGGCATCAGAGCTACTGAGGGGTCCTCTTGCTCTTTGATTCATGCTTGCAGCAGCCTATGCTCGATTTTACCCTGGTCTCACTCGATGGAAAGGTTACCCTTGGTATGCCAGGTTGCAAAAACTGGGATACACGTGAGGGGTGAGGTGGTCTTAATTATCATCTTCGGAGGCCGCAGCAACTACCTGGCCTCCAAGGGAAGCCCTACCCCCGACACCCCTTTCAAAATGACCTAATGCACCCCACCCTTTCGTTGCGGAACTCTCTACCCCTTTCGATTTCTTCCAGCCCCCCTTTTCATTAAGGCTTCACAGGATCCCTTGTTCTATTGCCACCCTTCATAATAAATCTCAATTCAAACCATAATCAATTCGGCATCACCCCAAACCATACGGCTTTGCCCGAGTACTCAGCATCATGGTGTCAGCACTACCCTTTTCTTTTCTTCCAGTACCCCACCCTGATCACCTCACATAGCCCTCCACTTCAGATTCTCCATCACCCTACCCCTATTTCCCTAATAAGTCTCATGGGTCCGATCATCCCCCATCTCCCCCCCATTTGTGCATTGTCCTACCCTACCTCGTTGTTGCATGACACCACCCTACCTTAATCCTCAACACTACGAATTCCAGCACTGAAGTACCCCCACCCTCCCCTTAGAGAAATTCTCAATCCTGTCCGAGCATATGCATTCAAGCGCCTTCATTTCAATGTTCTTCGACTAGGAAAATGGAGATGACCTGTGTCCTTTGAATTGATCACTACCCTTTGTGACACAGACCCTTTTTTTGTACTACCCCACCCAATGTGACCATCTGGCTCTGGAATTCTACTACCCTACCCTGAGAGATCGTTCAGATGTATAGTACCCCACACCTCAGACACGAATCCGTTCAGGGACCCGCATAAATCACTGCTACTACCCACCTACATCAGCGATTTCCAGCGTAGAGAAAACACCCCACCCTTACGTCTCCACCTACCCCTACACAGTGCGACTGCAGGGTGCAAACTTCCCGCGTCGCACATGCGGTGAGGCCATCTCAAGGGCTACTACATGGCCCCGCGCAATGCTGCCCCCTCCCGCGAATACCTCATCCTCGCTTCTCTTCCTTCGTCTCTTTGCGCTAAGATTCCGTTTTTGAAGTGTTTCCTCTCTGAATTATCTCTGACTGGACTTTTGGTTTGCCAGTTTTCGCTCCCTTTTGTGGACCGCAGCTGCCTCGTAGTAGATCAGTGATCCGCCGCTTCACCTTGTGCTCCTCCAATCAAACTGAAGAGCATTGGAGTCCGATACAGTCTTCCTTTTGAATATTGATCTTGGCCCCCTCGCCTTCGTTCCACGTGGCAAGCCCGTAGCTCGCACTCTTGCGGCCCCCCAACCCGTGCGACAAGAAACGTAAGTGGAGGCGCGCACATTTCATGGTTGTGGTTGTCCATAGTCGTGTGACCAGTCTCGCATCTTTCGCTGACAATGTATCCCTCTCGTCTCCCCGTTTTTGTCGAGATGACCTGTGCTTGCCTGGTGATGACGTGTTCCTACAGGCAGACTTGAAACCTCGAAGGTTGTCCTCCTTTCACCCGCCCTCCTTCGCTGGCCCAGGTTGTTGTTACCGCTGCAATGACACGACCTGGGCCAGCAGAAGAGACACCGTCACGCCTCCGTGAATCCTCAAGAAGGGTGAGGAGTTCCTCTTTGAAAACGCGGCAGTCCTTCTGATGCTGTATTATAGGTTAGCCGGGGTTCGCCGAACAAAAACCTCCCAGTCAAAGCCAAGGCAGAATATGCCAGCAAGAATTTGTTGATGTCAACAGAAGAGGATCGTACAAGCAATGCGTCCACTGCGGACAAGCATGACTCCGACTTCTCTTCTGGTGGCAGCCAGCACAGTGACGGGGAAATGCCTCGAGGCGATTACCGTGGGGATGAGATAGACGCAGCTTCCTCGTTAGCCACCATAATACTCGCAGGAAATGGGAGCAAGAAGCGAGGCAGCTCTTCCATCATGTTTTCACCTAAGGATAGTCAGCACGACTCAGACGCTGATCCAGTCTCGGTCAAGAAACAGCGCCGCAGGGAGAAGAACCGTGCTTCAGCTCAGCAATCCAGGCAGCGCAAGAAACATCATCTTGAGACCCTGGAGTGTCGAGTCGATGTTCTTGAACAGGAGAAGGCTGCTCTTGCTTTGAGGCTTGAAAGCCTGTTGGCAGAGAATAAGAAACTTCGCGGTCAGTTGGCTTTAGCAACTGACAGCGACCCCGATGTTTGCGACATCGACGAATCAATTGGAGCTGGACTGCTTGCCCAACTTGCGCAGACTGCTCATGCAATGATCCGTGATGAAAAGTAATCGACGAACCAGAAGTGATTTTTCTGTTCGTAGTTCATGGTTCAGTCGCACGTGATCTTACTGAAGGACTCAGGAGGTTTGATCTGAAATTCGATGAGCTTTTTCATCAATCAGGGTCAAGTCCTCAAGAAGATTCTTTTGAAACATTTATCTGTAGCTCTCAGGAAAGAAATATACGTTGTGTACATAGCAATCTTTAAAAACAAAGAAAAAATTAAATAAAGAAAAAAAGTTCAATTTTTTAGAGGGACAGTGACCGATTTCACATCTTCCTGTATGCTCGGAACGTGGGCTGGGCGAGTCATTGGTTTCATGTTTATTATTCTTCAACGATGAAAATACTCCCGTTGAACACTTGTAATGCCACAGAATGTGTTCGACGGAAAGCTTCCTCTATCGTTTTCTGCTTCATCAAAGCCTCGCTGTGAGTTGTTGGATTTCTATTTCATCTACACATCTTGACTCAATGTCTTTCCCAAGGCCAGTGCCCAGTTCGATCCCATATATGAAAGACAACTATCGCACTTGTTGCGACTGAGATGGCAAACATCAAGACAGATGCCTTTGCTAGAATTCTAACATTCCTGCTCGGGCTGTCGATGTAGCAACACCCCAGGAGCCATATCATTGGCATGGAGAAACCCAAAGCAAACACAATGAGCGGGCAGCACATGCTCTCTTGAGGTTGGGCGTGGTTCGGAAAGAGATGTCGATGGCTGTGGACATGGACAATCACATTCCCTTCCTGGTTGCTTCTGTTTTGAATCCTGTGAGCCAGCAAACAATAAGATCTTCGTCGAAACAATATGATATCATGATGGCAGAATTCAAAATAATGGAGACGTAACATCAGGAAACAACACTTACATGCTTTCACGCAAGTCTTCCGGCGCAGCAAAGGTGTGATGGATGGTTGTTGCCTGCTTTGTCGTGTACTGGACATTGACGGCAGGAGTGGGCTGAACTGTTCCAGCATCAGGGTTGAATGGAGGTGGGCGTCCATGTGCTGCTCCAGGAAGGTCAGGGCAGTTGGACAAGCCTCAACTTCTTGCAACAATGGGGTCTTCATTTGTTCCTGAGCGAAGCAGCAGTCAGGTCGGTTTTGGGATATCACATTCAGGGCAAATCCTGTAAGATATCGATAAATGCCATTATGGAATCTTCTCATACGGAGAATAATGCATCTGCTTCTAACCCCATTCTTTTCTACCGAGCAGCAAACATGTTTCACTCGTATCAACGTGTTTTCTATGAGCCACAAACAGGCAGGCGCACATGTGCGCCTGGATAGATCGCAAAAGCTTCGCACTGAAGCATGCCCACAACTACTCTTCGTCTCTGCCCTCTTTCCCCATCTTTCCAGTCATCGTCATTGCACGCATGACCGGGGCGCATTTGACCAGGTTCCCTCTTGATAATGAGTACCCCTACCCGTCATTTATTCTTTATTTTCAGCATTAAAGGACCCGTACGATTCCAACCCCACCCTGGTATTTTTTTTAAAACCTTTTGAGTTAAAACAACAAGACCAGGCCCGCACCGGCGCACGAAGATGAATAATTCACGAGGCGGGCCTGGTACCAATCATCGTTCAGTTTCAAACATGGCGAGAGGGTGGAGGGCAACGAGAGAGGCGATGGTGATGGGGAGGATGCGGCAGAGCAGCCGAATGGTACTGGAAGGCATGGAGAAGACAATGTAGATGAACATTACCTGTTGTTGATGAGCATGTTGGGCAAGAAAGACTTTCTCCGGCAGGGAGGAGGGAGACTTGGGTCTTCCTACTCAAGGAAGGTTGAGATCAGTGCTAGCACGCAAGGAAGCAGTGTGAAAGGACGGCCAACAAACAGGACATTAAAACTTACACATTCGAAGACAAGAGAAGACTGCGACGACTATGACGAGGAGGAGGAGGAGGAGGAGGAAGCCGGTTCAATCAACGGAGATGATACTCTGTATGATCAGGACGACATATACCCGAGAGTGTCCTACGCCTCTATGTATCTCAAGAAGGGTGATAGGAAAGTAATGCAGAGGGGACGGCAGAAACAGCAAGAGAGACAGGACTCATTGGAGTCGTGCAGGACTGTGGATGCAAGCTATGCATCCTGCCCAGAGGGGAAAAGGATGTCGGACTTACAGAGGCCAGTCCTGCTCGCCAAGGGGAAGAACCTTGGAAGTCCAGTGAGACCAGTGATGTCAGTGGAGCAGATCCGCTCCCCCTCCTCCCGTGGTGTGATCGAGGAGAAGCAGAGAGCCCTAGAGAACACGCGAGACCTGGGCGACCACAGCAAAATTGAAGCCTCTGCCATCGACTTCTCTCCCCTCCTCCAGGTGTGGAGGGAGCAGGAGGAGGAGACGATGGAGGGGATGACTCTGTCGTCAGGCGATCCAAGGGCAGCTCGCGTCATCCACACAAGAGAACATCGTGCTCAAGGAGCAGGTGGAGACGCTCAGGACCCAGCTGGAGCAGCTGGAGCAGAACTACGAGATGAAGTGACGCTGCTGCGGGGGGCTGTTTGCCATGCTCACGTAGTCTGTGTGGCAGGTTGGCGGCGGCGGAAGCGCGGATAGAGAATGAGAAGGGGAAGGAGATGGAGAAAGTGATTCAGAGGATGAGGATTCGTGACAGACAGAGCGATGCGATCAACAAGCACAAGGGAGTCGAGAAGCTCAAGAAGGAGGTCGAGTACCTGACGGTGTGGCCTGTGCAGCCATGCCGTATCGTGTCTGACATGTGTGCCAGGGCGAGCTGAGGAAACAGAAGCAAGAAGCGTACGCGAGAGAATCTGTCCTGAACATGAACATCGACAAGTTGAGGAGGGCGGTTGATAGACTTCAGGTCTGACAGGATCGTTGGGACGCTTGCATACTGACGGTGCGCAGGAGGAGAACGAAGAGCTCAAGTCGAAAATGGCGACAGGGGATGAGCCGATTCTGCTGGACGGCAGGATGCGGCGCAGGGAGCAGGAGCACGATGTTCGACAACATGCCCACTCCTTGTCCTCCTCGACCCAAAATCCGCAGGCAACAGCGGGGAAGGTGAGGAAATCGACGCCGCCCAACATGTCTATCTCCTCATCAGAGCAGAGGGGCACAGAGAGCATGCTGGAAGCGCAAGCGAAACTCAACGAGCTGGTGATGGAGGGCGAGGAGGAGAGAGGACAGGAGGCGTCCAATCGGGACGTGAACTCCATCACCTACCGCAATGGCAGTGTGAAAGATTTTCTGCCCGATGGGAGGAGGATCACCAAGTTTCCCAACGGAGACATCAAGGAAGATTGTCCTGACGGGAGCTCAACTTACTTTTACCGGTGAGATGACTTGATTACCCCGCCCATTCTCAACTCTATTCCCTCCCTCCCTCCATCTCTCCCTACCTCGCTCCCTACCTCCCTACCTCCTTGCAGTTACCTGTACTTCTTTGACCAATCAGGTTCTCCTCTCACTGACCCCTCCCTCCTCTCACTGCAGGGACGCAAACACAACTCACATCACCTACAAGGACGGTACCCAGCTCATTCACTTCCCCAACAACCAGATGGAGCGACACTTTCCCGACGGCTCGCGCGAAGTTGTCTTCCCAGACAAGACAAGATGCCGTTTTGCTCCCGATGGGACCAAGACAGTGACGTATGGCAAGGGAGAGTAGACCACATTGGGTGACTGATGTTCTCTCTCATATTCATAACATCATAGCGGATATTGGGTAGCAACGTGAAAGGCTGGTCAGGCTTCCGCGCATTTGATAGAGTTTTTCTTGTTTAATCTAATATAACCAAAAGGAAGCAAATCTCTCAAGCAACTGTACAAACGATGGATAATGTCGGGCATCAGCAGTTCTGGTCTTCCACCAACAACACAAATTGGCATCAATTGCCGTTGGCGTTCTCCTCCTCCTCCTCCTCCCGCCTCTCAGCCTCCTGCTCCTGCTCCTGAGCAATCGCATCCTCCTCAGACGGGATGCTCGACACGAAGCACCATCGGTTGCACTCTTCCAGCATCGTCCTGTCCCTCGTGCCCAGCTGCCCCTTCATGATGTCGTTGAACGTCTTGCAGAACATCTCGTACTCAGTCCCAAAGTCATTCCTGTACTTTACCACGTTGGACGCCAAGTGCTGGTGGGTGCTGCAGTGCAGGATAGCAAGAGGGGCGTTGGTAGGAACCGCCTGACCCTCCATCTCCATCTTGAACTGGGGGTCCAGGTACTGGATCTCCCACACGGACGACCATCCTCCGTTGAGGCTCATGGCCACCTCCTGGTTCCGCGTGTACCTTGAGTAGGACGTGGGAGTCTTGGGGTAGGACGTTAGGAAGGCGTTCTCCCCCCCGGTGATGAGCGGGTTGCACTTGATCTGGATCTTCTGCCCGAAATGCACTATGTCGTCCTGGAAGTCGAACATCGCGTCCTTCTTGTCTCCCCTCCCCTCCCACCTGCACATCTTCCATCACTTCCTCTCCTCCTGCCCGCACGCACCAGCTCCCCCTCACCTCTTGATCTCGAACGTGTTCCTTGCACATGGCTCAGTGTACCACGTGGAGGTCGTGGCGAAAGATTCGTCGGAGAGATTCTCCTGGGGGTCGCATGCCAGGCACCCGTCGGTCGCCTGGTTGAAGAGCATGATGACGTCACCGAAGTGAACGTAGCCATCATTCGCCTTGGGCTTTAGCTCAACTGGCTGCAGCGCATGCGCGAACCGCTGCTCTGCCTGTGTGCTTTTCAGCTCCCCCCTGTCCTTCTTCAACAGGAAATTCTTCAATCTGGCCTGCAAGAGGTCTATGAGTCCTTGAAACAATGTTATCCTCCCTCTCTCCATACCGCTTCAAGCTCCATGTCTTCGCTCCAGTTCCCGATCTTCACCCTGGCATTGTACCCCTTGTACCCCTCCATCTGCTGCCTTGTGTATAGGAATTCCATCTTGGTGTTGCTGGAAAAACAACCGTTAAGCAAATCTTGTGGTCACAAGAATGTAGATATTTTCTAATTGTCGTGTTTGGGAAGGGCGCTGGTTGTTAGCTACTCTTTCATTTTCCCCGTTGAGAAATCTCATGCCTATGGGAACAAGCAAGCCAAGTAAAAGAGTCACATCTGCTCCACTCATTGACACAATTGCCTATCTTCTTCGATTATCGCAGATGGCTATGCGCAAGTCTATCTGCAACCACCAACCTTTCATGCACCAGATTACTCCGGTCTAACTTTCGAAAGCATCCACAGGCTAATCTAATTATTCTCCCTCGATTGTTCTAAGAGCATCTCAACTTCGGCACACCAGCTCTCTTGCTTCAGGGTCAATGTTCACTTGTCACTGCACCGCCCTGCATGACTTCATTCATCTTCTTGTACTTCTCCTTCGCGCATTTGCTCGCCCTCTGCACCATTCTCGCTTCAGTTGAATCAAACGCTGACCACCCCCCACCCCCTTGGATCTCAAACGATCTGGACGGCACCCCCCTCGATTCCACAAAACTAGCCTTGGAAGTACCGGTTCATCCGCTGGACAAGCCTTTTAGAAGTTCATGGCTCTAATAAGGGATCATGTAACGTATTACCAACGTACTTCTGTAACGGCAATGCCGGTTGGTTTGTAACGTTTAGTCCAACGGTTGTAGTTTCGAAGTGCATCGTAGGTTATGTGGCTGATAGCTTCCAGAAGGGGTGATTTGACGATTGATTCCAGGGGTACTTGAGGATGGGGTACTGTTTTTTTTTCTTGGTGGCATTTCGAAAGATCCAAATTGTGGTAGGGGTAGTGAAATTACACGGGTAGTATCATATAATTTGAGTATTTTTCGGGGTATTGTCATATACATGCCCATTTTGAGTAGTGATTGAGATATCATATTCGATAGGTTGTACCATCATGACTCTCCATTTGACCAATACGGGGGTAGGGTACTTTTTATGAGGGTGGGGGTGATAAAGTTTGTGCCAGCGGCTTTCCGCCAGGTGGCGCCAGTCGCGTCAGGGGGCGCGGGTCCAGAAGGGTAAAGTTTTTGTCGACAAGGGTATTATGAAATCTTTGGGTGGTGAATTACTGACTAAACTTTGTAGTTAAAATTTGAAATTATATATATAAATTATTTACTTAACTATTATTTTGTATAATAGCGGTTACAGCTGATGGCAGGCTCCATGAATTCGTCTAGAAAGCATACCCCCCCAGGCAGCCCCCACCCCTTCTTCCAAATCGTGTGCCCTCCCGTTCGAGAGGGCTCTTCCTCCTTCTCCGCTCCCTCTGCTCCTCCTCAGACAACCTCATCCTCGTCCCACAAGCTCATCTCTGCCGTCTCCAGCCCCCTGTCACAAGTGGATCGTTGAAAGGCGCCTGATACCGCCTCCATGCACTCGCGAGCTCGTGCTGGCCTCCTGAGGACATTTGGCTGAGTGAGGATTCCTTGTCTCTTCCGCGCCAACAGTCTACTGCTTGAGGCACTAGGTAGAGCTATAGCCGTAGCACGAGAAGTTGTGTTTCCTTTCTGCTGCTTGCCTCTCGGCATTGGGATGGAGGGAACTACAGGGGATTGCACATCCATCCATATCAAGAGGAGTAGCGTGGCTCGCAGCTCGCAGCTGAGACCTCGAGCACAAACCAACAGTCAGAGAGACAATTCGGCATCAGGGGACTGCGAACGCCCTCTCGAGCGACTGAAGGGAGGTAGGTTGACGTGCAGCAAGAGGGTCTTTTGGCTGGCTCAGCTCAATGGTGAACTGCTGGTCCAAACTTTCTTGACCCTCAGTCCACGAGAGGCATCCCGCGCCTCGCAGGTGTGTCGATCATGGCAGCAGACTGTCAGAATGAGTTGTCGGCTGACGTCGCGTTTGGAACTCGGGCAATACGATTGCCCCTGGAGGAGGAAGAACCTGGGTAGTCTTTTCAAGAGGTATTGCTCACTTGAAGAGCTTCACTTCTGCACCGAATTTCTCTTGCCCCTCGAAGCTGTGCAGGCGATCTCGAAGGCTTTTTCTCAGAGCCTTAGATCCTTCACTGGATTCCTCATCTCGAATTGTGTGGAGGGAAAGCAAGTGGCGATAAGTGAGCTTGCTAAGATCTCAACGCTCGAGTCTCTCACCCTGGAGGGTACACTGATATCGGGGCACAGTCTCGTCGAACTGGCAGACAATTGCCCAAACCTGAGGAGCGTCTGCTGCCACGAGATACTAGCAACACACTCTCAACTCGCCTACTTATGGGATCGTTGCCCAAACTTGTCGTCTCTGAGTGGAGTGAATTTGTCTGTTCACAACGAACTCGACGGAGTAGCCAGGGAGCCTGCTAGTCTGATTCTTTCCCAGCTTTCCAGTTTGAATTCGTTGGGACTTAATCTTTTCACAGAATATGTACGTGTCACAGACTGCATCGCTAGCATTGATCGTTTCGCAGGATCCACAGATTCTGGACTGCATCTCCAAACTGTCCTTTTCCAACTTGACGTCATTGAGGCTGCGCGCCTGCACCTTTCCTACTGAAGGAGTCTTGAATCTCTTCACACACTGCACCAGGTCAGCTTCTCTCCATCTTGTGCAGGGCCGGCTCCTGCTCACCATCCATCACAGATTGGAATCTCTAAGTCTTGTCGCATCCGAAATTCCTGGTTGTGCAGATGAAGTGTTTCGGAATTTAAGCTCGAGTCATTTGCCTTGTTTAAAGAGCTTGGATCTAGACGAGGACCAAGTACATTTTTTTTCTGAGTTGTTTTTCCCCCTGATTTCAAACAGATATCAGATCGTGGCTTGGCAGCCCTTGCTCGTCACCCAGTAGCCATGCATTTGACCGCCCTGGAATGTCTCGACTTGAAAAACGCTTCAAGAAGCACGTTCTTTGCGTTGATGGGTTCACTTTCCAGCTTGAGCAGGCTGAGGGTCGGAGTAGCAAGGAACACTCCGTGGTTGCAAGGACCCAGCAAGGATTGCCTGATGCTGCCCAATGGCAGCTGTGGCGAATTCCTGGACGTCTCTAAACGGACTGCGTTTGACTCAGTTGACAACCTGGCTGTTTGCTGGTGCGACGACTTTGGGCTGACTGAGGTCGAAGAGATTCAACCTCGATGTAAGTACGTGCGTATAGGACAACTCGGCGAGTGGCCCAACCTGTCGCACTTGGAGTTGTGTGACTGGCCAGCCCTGTCGTCCATGGACGCGGCTATCTTTGCCTCAAGATCTCGGAAGATCAAGCGTTTCACGCTGTCGCTGCCACACGAGCTATCAAGTAACAGAGCTGTTTTTTTTGTGGCTGCATCACTGACCAACCGGTTTGACAGGTGACACAATCCGAGTCATTGCCAAAAACTGCAGGGATCTGGAGATGTTCCGGCTGTTCATGTTTTCGGACTCAATGTCCCTCACTGGAGTTAACGGCAAACGTTGGCAGCAGAGCATCAAGAAGATTTTTTCGAGGTGGCTCCCTTTCTGCCAGTGCTCTATCCATGTTCATTGATGCCACCGACTCCATTGTACATGTACAATTTATTCTTTCCTGCCCCTTGAAGGAGGGGTTGCCTTCTTGTGACAATGTCTTTAATTAAAGAAAGTTGAGGTCTTGCGCTAGGATAGTCACTCTGTGCGATCCTGATCTTCAGACTTGTTTGCTCCCTCCTCTCCGACAACGCTTCGTATCCACCGGCTGTAAGCGCGCAAGTTCTTATCCTCGGGGACGAAGGTCTGGGCTTGCCCGCAGCAGAACATGAGGTACGATTGCTGCCGAGAAGTGTCATCTCATACGCTGAGGGAAGGAAAAGGAAGAGGAGCAGTGGTGAAGGAGGAAGACTTTACATAGGTGAACTGTCCGACCCCAGCAGGCTTGTAGTCTTTCTCCAGACCAATCTGCCATAGTAGGTTGTCCAGTCAGACGCTGCCGTCGTTGGCCAGTGAGGGACGGCAAACTCACCACGAACTCTGACATGGAGAGAAAACGGTTGGTCACGTCTCGGAGCCCCTTGATTCTCGAGTCGAAAAGGCCCAGGGGCTTGATCATCTCAAAGACCTGCTCGTCGTCCGATACCTACGGTGGGAAAGCATGAGAGAAAGAGCGAGGGGAGGAGGGAGGATTGAGGAGGGAGGAGGGAGGAGGGAGGGAGGGAAGAGATCGGCAAGAACAAGGTGATGAGATGAAGTCGAGGAAAGAAACTTCAGGTATAGAGGGGGAGAGAGAGACAGACGAGGAGCTCGCAGGGCAAGAAGAGATAGAACAGCAGGGATCTTGGGGACGAAAGGACAAAGAAGACGGGATATGGATTGCTACGAGCAAAGGAAGAGCGGATCAAGAGAGGAATCAGGAAGGACGAGGAAAACTTCACTGCTCTCCATCACCTTGAAGGCCGAGGGAGTGGGGAAGAGATCAAAGAACCCGTTGATGCACTTGTCTTTGACCTGTGCGGAGGATACCCTGCTCATCAGGATGCACGCCACAAGCAACCTCCATGTGTCGTGGCAGTATCTCTCCTGGAGCATCTCGGACCCGGAGGCTGCGGGAACGACTGAGATCCTGCTGGCAACAAACAGCTCCCAGTCCGCCACGCTCGCCCTGCCCACAAGCCTTCCCCACTTGTCCTCGGCGAACTCCTTCCAGTCCGCCACACCCGGGTGGTTCCGGGCAAGCACCTCCTTCTGCAGGCCCCTCAGCGTGACGAGGAAGTCTGACATAGAAGGAGGAGGTTCGAGGCTGTCAAAGTCCGGCATCTCGACCTCCGTCTGCCCCTGCGGTCGCGCCTTTCCGGGATGCTCCTCCCTCTCGTCCCAGGTTGATGGCAGCTCCATGAGCTTCACCGGCGTCACCTGCGCTGTTCGTCTCGATGATCGTCTTAGTGTTACTTCCCCGTCCCTGCAACACAGCGTCAGTTCCCCATGACAGACGAAGACTCAGCTCACTCTGCGTCCTCGTTCCTCCTCCTCTTCTTGGCAGTGCTCTGCGCAGACAAGGCCTCGTCCTTGGCTTCGTCCTTGGTGCGATCAAGCTGGGAGGCAAGGGAGGGGATCCCAAGAGAGGAGAGAAGAGCGTTGTTTCTTTGAATGTTCTCCTCCCTCAGCCGCTCATATGCAGACGCGTCGTCAACCATTCCCGCCATGCCGCCAAGCAGGGGCCTTGGTTGATCTACCCCTGCAACTCCCACCAAAAGTACCGGTACTGAGTGATAGGACTCAGTAAAGAAGCTTGCAAGTACCAGGGAGAGCGGGAGGAGAAGGCGGATAGGGTGGAGAGGAGAGAGGAGGGTAGGACAGAGAGGAGTGATAAGCGAGGAGTCAGGGATGTACGTCAGGAGGGCTGGGGACTATCCGTACGATGCATCACGCATGGTCGCCTGATGCTTACAGAGGAAGCGAGGGAACGAGGGGTAGATTCATAGCGTTTCAGAGGCGCATCGGCCGCTGATGCTCTTCCTGCATGGTTGAAGTAAGATGGCTCGGCGTCAGGAGCATGATATCAAGGTGTCGGTGGAGGAGAGAGTGTCCTCGGCCTCCCGCTGCTCGTGCCACAAGGCCAAGGAACGGATCATAGCTTCCCTCGAGCAGGCCTGCGGCCATGACCTCCCAGCGACCTTACCCGACGACCTGAGGGATGTTGACGAGGACGATCTCGAGCCCCTGCCGCCCTCGTGCTGCTGTGAAGGGTTCAATGCTCCCGATCTCCATGAGGTCGTCGAGGCCGTGAAGCGAATGAAGACCAAGGATGTCTCTACGATGCTTGACCACCTCCTCTGCCTCAAGTGCGAGCATGAGCTCAAGTTTCATCGTCCCCTGCTGGAGGTCAGACTCCTGCTCGTCTTTGATTGAATGTCAACTGTCCCACAGGTGGAGCGTTCGCTGTGGGATACGGTGAGGAGGGGCCGTTCGCAGTGGGCATGCGATGTGAGCAGAAGACTTTGGGTGCCAGTTCCATCTTTGTTCAGTGTCAAGGACGAAGAAGGAGGAATGCTGAGTAGACCTGCGAGAATCTTGAAAGATCATAAGGCGACGGAAGCGCTCGAACTGCTATACTGGAGGAGATTCGACTTGCCTTCACCTCGCGGCCTCAATGTGCCAGGGGAAGGAGCAGCTGACGCTGACTTCTTCCTCATGGTGATGAGCGAGGAGTTGACGAGCGACTGCGTGGCATGTCTGCTGCTCTTGACCGGCCTTGACGCGGTTCTTGTGATCGACGGGCAAGGGACCTTGAAGCTTTTTTCGCCCCTTGCGCAAGGTCAGCCATCTTTTCTTGAGCTCTCCTCAATATGCCTGACCACCTAGCTCCTCTTCCCCATCAGACGATCCATCCAGCTGTGCGAGATGGTTGGAGTGGAGCCCAGCAGTGACATGGCACCCTCCTGCTGGAAGGCTCTTGTGCGCTGACTGGGACGAGGATCGGTACTCGTGCTGCTCCTTTTTCTTCTCCTCCTTCCTGTTACCTTGCTCCCCTTCGCTCTCCTGTGCCGCCCGGCGCTGCTAAATGGCCTTTCTCACCGTGATAGAGCAGGCTTCTGACGGCTGCAGGAGAGGATGGGATGGTTTACGTTGCCCGGCTTCCCCAACTCTCGCCCAACAGCTGCCCCTCCCCTCCCCTCCTCCTCTTACCCGATGCTGCCGGTGAAGAGCATCGTAACTTCGTCATGGATGTGCGCTTCATTCAGGTGCTGCACTGCATGCTCCGACTTTCTGTGCTGCTGATTCTCTTCATGTTTGCTCCTCTCCTTCCTGCGATCATCTCGGTCTTCCCAGCAAGAGGCAGCCAGGCAGGCAGGAGAGCAACTGATCTGCAGCTGCAGCCTCGACAGGAGGATTGTCGTGTGGAGGTTCAACGCAGTCAACTCGGACTTGACAACTATGTTCTCCATCAATGTCGGCCAACAGATTTTGAGCATCCACTGCTCTCCTCCCTCCTCCTCCTCCTCCTCCTCCCCTTCATGCTTACCCTCCTACCCTTTCTCATCTCCTTCCAGCCCTTCTTCCTCAACAACGTCCAAGGATCGGTACGCCGGATCATCAGTCTTCATGCTCAATCGGGCGGGACAACTCGGACGAATCCTCCTGCCACAGTTTGCGCACAATGTGTCCGTGGTTCCTCTCATGTGCAATCCGTGAGGACTGGCCTCAGACTCGAACCTGGCGCCCCGCACCCGCGAGCCCGGCCGGGCGCGGTCACCGGGCGGGGCCCCGGGGCCTCCGCCCGGGCCCGGCGGCGCCGCCAGCGGCCCTTCCGAGTGACTGACGGTAGCACCGATTCAAGGGATGCCATCGGCGCCGACAGTTATCGGACCGTACGGTTTCAGGTACGGCGTAGTCACGGCCCGGGGGCCCCGGCGTACGGTACTAAATCCGATCAGATGCATGCCACTGATGATTGAACTTCCGAATCAAGTGAGGAGTCCGCTTGCCACTAACGGTCCAACTTCACTCGCCTCACAGAGTCAGTCACTGTGACTCCGTGACTCCGGCCCACTGGCATGGTCCACACCACGGCGCGCGGGGCCGGCCCCCGGGGCCCGGGGGCCCGGCCCGGCGGGCCGGCGCGGCCCGGGCCCGGGGGCCGCGCCCGGCGGCGCTACGGCGCGAGAGTCACCGCCCTGCCTCAGGCGGATCACTGCCGTGATCGGCCGGCCCGGTACCGGCCATGCCACGGTACGGTACGGTCCACACCACGGCGCGCGGGGCCGGCCCCCCCGGCGCGGCCCCGGGCCCCGGGCCCGGCGGCGGCGGTGAACTACCAACGACGGTCTGATGCGGCAGTGGCACGGGTCTGCCTCAGCCTCTGATTGTCATGGAGGGTGGGGTGGTCCCGTCACTTTTGCTCAGTAGGTGTCATAGTCTGTCCTAAATAGGCTATGACAGGAGGATGCCTGATTGAGACTAATGCACCACTTATAGAAACTCATAGCAGATGCACTAGGCTTAACAAGCTCGGATGGACGAGGTACAGGATCGGTACACTGGGTGGGTTGGAGAGATATAGGCAGGGGGGCCGATGGTGGGGATAATGCGGATCCGAGGAAGGGTGGCGCTGTTGGCGGTGATGGCGGCGACGACGACAGGATCCATGGGCTTGCAGATGTTTCATGAACAAGGTGAGAAACAGAGATGATGTGTTCTGTTGGAAGTTAGACCGTGGTGGAGGATGAACGATGGTGGAGGGTGGGATATGGAGGATGAAGGAGAAAGGAGTGGAGGACAGGGAAAGATGTTGGGATTAAGAGCGGGAAAGGATGGACGCAAAGGTATTCAATATACAATGCAACAAGTAGAGCATCTCATTGGGTGTACTATGATATGAAAGTTGAACACAGAAGGAATGAACTCTCTTCAGTATGTACATTTCAAGGTTTCATAATGCGCAAACAAGTGGTCATGGCATACATGCGATCGCATGGCAATGACGAGTTATAGGAATAACAACTCTGCTGATGCCGTACTGATGTATCTCTTCGGCTCTAATATCCGCATGGCAGGGCGCGGTCCGCTTCCGTTCCTCAGGGCTCCGAGAACTGCCCTCTGCTCCGTTCAGCTGCCGAGCATGAAGAGCATCCAGCACGACGTTAAGCACATGTTTGACTTCATCCCCGACGGTCTTCGAACTCCCATCGTCAACGCCTGGGCCGCCACCCTCGCAGGTCTGGCTGCCTACCTGGTCGCGACCCCCATCGAGGCGCTCAAGACCGGGCTGCAGACATGGCCGGGGAGCACGTGGGTGGGAGTGGCGCAGAGGATCGTGGAAAGGAGAGGGCCGGCAGGGTTCCTGTACGGGCTGGACGCGATGTGGTGGGCGGGGGTCCCGTACTCGATCGTCATGTACTCCATCTATCAGCCCATCAAGAACAGAGTCAACGAGTTGCTGGGAGGGAAGCAACCCATGGTGGGACAGACGATGGGAGCTGCCATAGCTGAGATCATCGGACTCACCGTCTTCATCCCCGGGGAGCTGGTCCGCATGGTGAGAGGAGAGGAGGGAGAGGAGGAGGAGGGAGAGGAGGAGGAGGGAGAGTAGAAGAGAGGCAAGGAGAGGGCAAGGATGTAAGATGGTCAGGCGGGATGGAGTTATTTACAGGAGGGCAGTGAGAAGAGGGGGGCGGGGGGGAGGGGGGGAGGGACAGAGTCTCCTAGACAAGAACAGGTGAAGGCGAGAAAGAAGGAAGGAGTGACGGATGGTGGAGGCAGAGCTGATACCTGACACGGTACTTCAGAGGATGATGAACAACCCCGGGTTGTACGCGTCGTTCCTGCAAGGGCTGCCGGACTTGACAAAGAACGTGAGTCACTGGGATGCTGGAGATGAGAGGGAGTGACTGCCGTGACCAGGGGTTCGGAGGGATGTACAGGGGCTTCAAGGTCACGATGATCCGGGATGTGCCGTACACAGCCTTGCAGTTCGTCTTGTTCGAGAACATCCGGCAGTGGTGCATGCGCCAGTCGCCAGACGGTGCGAGGAGGAGATGAGAGATGGTAGTCGATAGGTTGTCTTTGCCGGATGTCGTGTCGAGGAGCAGGATAGATCTCTTACGACCTCTCTTTTGCTGTTGCTGCGTGATTCAGATGTTACGAGTTATGCTCTAGATGATGGAGGCGATGGTGATGGTGTTGTTGATGACAGGTTCCGTCACGTTCTTGGAGAGCTTGGGAGTTGGAATCGTTTCTGCCATCTTTGCATCGACTTTCACGATTCCGCTCGACGTCCTCAAGTGAAAGATTCCCAGTACCCTTAGAGCTGAAAGAGGAGGAAGCAGGCAGGAAGAACAAAAAAGGAAGGGGAGGGGCAGGGCCAACTGATTGTGGGGAGGCGCACAGGAGAGACAGTTGTCTGGAGTGGCAGAGGGCAGAAGAGAGTTGAGCTCAGGGAGCGACGATGGAAAGAGCCGGAGGGCGCAGGGCGGAGGAGAGAGCAGGGAGGAGGGGAGAAGGTGGAAGAGGGAGGAGGGAGGGATCTGACTGTTATCGGCAGGTCAAACATCATGACATCCTCGGGCTCTGCCTCTCTCCGCAAGATGTCAACGACCCTCATCAAGAACGTGAGCCGATCATCCCCAACTTCTTCTTCCTCCCACCCTGTCCACTCTCCATTCCCGCTGCTGCACCCATCCTCCCCACTCCCCCGCCTCTCGTCATTCGCTCGCTCCCTTCCCTTGACTTCACCTCCCTGCTTCCCCTCCTTCTCTTCTTCCTCTCCTCCCTCCCTCTCTTGCCCCCTCATCTCCCTCCGCTCCTGCACCCCCTCCGCTCCCTTGCTCGCACGCTCACTCCCTCGCTCCGTTTTCTTCTCTTCTCTCACCCTGGTGATGCAGGGAGGGCTGTCGAGCATGTTCAAGGGGTTCCTCCCCTACACAGTCATCAGTGAGTGCTGACTTGAGTGTTGTCGCCGTAACGATGAGGCAGACGGCGCTAAGTGGAGCTCGTCCATGGCAGTTTACAGCACCACGAGAGACTTCTACGGCCTGAAGAGCACGGGAGGTGCCCACTGAGAGGAGAAAAGGAGGGGTAGGAGGAGAGGAGACAAGGAGGAGGAAGAGGGAAAGGGAAGAGGAGCGCTGAGAGAAGCGCTAGAGTGAGGATTGCGGGTTGAAGGTCTCGACGGGGAGAAATTTGTTGAGGAAGAAGACATCAAATGGATGTGAAAAATTCCACCACCACCACGACATCCTCCTCCACCACCTTCACCTCCACCACGACCTCCTCCTCCTCCTCCTCCTCCTCCTCCTCCTCCCCTCCATTTTCTCCACCTCCTCCTTCTCTTTTCCGCCCTTCATCCTCCTCCTTCGGCATCAACTTTAATTCTCCTGTCTTTCACCTCCCACTTCCTGTCCTTCACTTGCCCTGCCTTCACCTCCTGCTGCCTCACAACTTCTTGAAGACCAGCGCCGTCGCTGTCCCCCCGAGCCCAACGCTGACGCTCAAGGCGACCTCGAGGTTCTGCCGCGCCTGTCAAGCTCCTGTCGCTGGCGCCTCAAGTCTCTTACCTTGACCTCCTCCTTGGCCGACGTCACAAACGAGACCCCGTCTACGACCGCATGCTGGAGATTCGAAAGTATCACTGTGAGTTTCAAAACGAGGAGGAAAGATTGAAGGGTAGTGGTGGAAAGTTTCCAAGGCGGCGTGAAACTTGCTTCTTACCTTAAGGCTCGTCATGCCAGGAACGACGCCATCACGAAGAGCTCGAGCGCAGACAGCCGCGTTGATGCCTGAGCGTAAGAGAAGAGACAAGTGAAAAGATAGTGACAAGTGACAAGATTGAGAGAAGTGTGAACGAGAAGGAGAACGACAGAGGGAGAGGGGAGGGGGACGATGGGGAGGAGGATGGGAGGGAGGGGAAGGGAACAGGGCAGGGGAGGAGAGGAGAGGAATAGAAGGACTGAGTGAGAATGGGAGGGACAGGGAGAATATGATGTGAGAAGAGAAGGAGGGTAAGAAGAATCAGGAAGAATTTGAATCATCAGGACAAGGGGAGCAGAGGACGGAGCGGCAAAGAGCACCAGCACCCACCAGATGCAGCAGCTAGCGAGTTTCCAACCCTGCTGCTGACAGAAGAGATCTGACAACGAAAGGAAATCAGATTTCAGATTTCACTAGTTTTCACGACGAAGGCGATCATCATCATCATCATCATCATCATCATCGTCGTCGTCGTCGTCGTCGTTTCCATCCCCATCCCCATCCCCATCCCCACTGTAGTCATCACCATCACTATCACCATCATTCTTGTTTGTTTTATCCTCGTCATCCCCATCCTCATCCTCATCGTCGTCGTCATCATCATCATCCTCATCCTCATCGTCATCGTCATCCTCCTCCCCACGCACCCTCCTCCTCCTCCTCCTCCTCCTCCTCCTCCTCCTCCTCCTCATCATCATCATCATCATCATCATGAGAAATCGTCTTGATTCCTCGCTTCTCACCTTTGCTCGTGACATGTTGTCACCAAGAGCTTGTCTGATTCCTTCGATCTCAACCTTTTGTTCTTGGTTACAGTCGCTCTCACTCAACTCGCCCTCCTCCCCTCCTTCCCCTCGCTTCCTTCTTCCTTCCGATCTCTTTCTCTTTCCCTTCTCTTTCCCTCCTCTTCACCTAACCTTGTCGAATTTAGGGACGCCAACGCCATGAGCGCAAACAAAGTCAACCTGCAAGACGTCAGGAAATCATCGTCCTTCTACCTTACCAACATCTCCCAGTGTTAACCAATCACATCGTTCAAAAAGGTTCATATCATCGAATTCAGCATCGATTGTCTCGACGAGACAACATAAACCATTGGAGCAGCTTCTACTTCACCGATCAAACCTCAACTACATCATATCTTCTGCACGTCCACATTTTCTCATTAACCTCCTTCACATTGTTGTGCTACATTTACAACTCTCACCGCAGAAGCTTCAACTTTCGCATCCTTCAACGCAAGATTGATCGATTGCGCAATAGCTTCGCTCGATGGCATCCCTCCCAACCCGAGCTGTCGGGATAGTCAGATCATCATCATCATCACCACCACCACCACCACCACCACCACCACCACCACCACCACCACCAACAACAACAACAACAACAACAACAACAACAACAACAACAGCACCACCATCACCATCACCATCACCATCACCATCACCATCATCATCATCAACAACTTTGTCAGCACCAGCATCATCAAGGAGAACTACGATGATAGATAGCAACATCTACTATCACCTCTTCGTCCATCTCAACTCCCTGCGCCATTCCAACTCCCGCGACCTCACAGTACATCTTTGCTCCACGAGCCTTCGCGTGTTCCTCCGCCTCCATCAGCAGCACGCCGCTGCCTTCAGAAAGCAGAAATCCCTTGCTCTCCTTGTCGAATGCATTGCTGCCGATACAAGTTACCTTTGCGCTCCCTTCCCTCCCCCCCCCGCTTCCCTATTCTGCCTCCATCCCGTCTCCCCAGCGGTTCTCATACGTCTCTTGCTTCCTTGAGTTGACCATCCTCCTCCTCCCCTCTTTCTTCCCCCTCCTCCCTTCCTCCCCCCTTCCTCTCTCCCTCCATCTCCTCCTCTACTTACTTTGCATGCGTCTGATCCTCATTGCAGCCCTTGGCGAGCGTGGAGAGCTTGTTGTAACCCGCAACGATGCACTCAGTCAGGCAGGACTCACTTCCTCCTGCCGCCATGATCGTCGCCTCCCCCGACACGAGGAACCTCCGCGCCTGAGCGATCGACAAGGCTCCTCCTGCCGCCTCTCCCCCGTAGCCTCCGATGCAGTAGTTGGGCCCCTCCGCCCCGAGCTCAACAGCAGCAACGCCGCTTGCGCTATTGAGGATGAAGGAGGGGACGATGAAGGGGGAGATCTTCTTGAACCCCTCGTACGTCAGCTTGCACCCGTCAACAAACAGCGGGCCCTTGTAGATGCTGTTCCTTCCTGCGAACGTCCCGTCCCCCCACGCCGCGCCTGAAGGCAACTGGTCGTACTCCGTGTGCTTCTGCCACTTGCTCCCTGCCTCCTCGAAGAACTCGGAGCCGCCGATGGCGGAGGCGATGAGCACGCCGAACTTGTCCTTGTCTGCCACAGTTTCTGTGTTGAGATTCGCGTCCTGGACGGCGAGCTTGGAGGCAGCGATACCCATCTGCATGTACCTGCTCTGTCTCTTGGCTTCCTTCTTGTTCTTGTACCATTCCTCGGCCTTGAAGTCGCTGACGACTCCGGCAACCTTGCAAGGGAACTCCTCAGCCCAGGAGGGAAGAGACGTAAAGCTCCTCTTGTCTGCGAACACACTCTCGAAGAACTGGTCGCTTCCTGTTCCCACGGGCGATACGATCCCCAGCCCCGTCACGACCACCCTAGGGTTTCCTCCACCCGATGCTGCCATCCTGAGCTGTCCAGCGCTTCTCCTCGCGGTCCGACGTGGAGCTACTGAGAATCTCGTTCCCATCATGCTCGTTGTCATCCCCTGGAACGCCAGCGCCGCATGCAACGTCGCCGCCGCCAAGAGCAGCGTTCGCACCATGGCCACCCTTGAATGTAGGACCCTACCCCCTCAACAGCCCAACTCTACCCCAAGGGCCTCTCAGACCGTCTACTGAGTCATCTTCCGGAGATGACTGAGGCTGTCGGCCCGCCGAGCGACTAGACCGGCCCGGGCCGGGCCGCCGCCGCAGTTCGAGACTCAACTGACCGTCAACTAATGTTATGAAGTAGACGATTGTCAGTGGAGTGAAGGATCACCAAGTGTGGCTGGTAAGTTATGACGGAGAGCTGAGTCAGCCTCGGAAGTTTAATTCAATCAGTCATTCAATGTACTTGCTAATCAATGAAGGCTGGCACTTGGCAGCCGGCGCGGCCGCTCGCCTCACCTCCGCCCTTACTCGAAGGCGGAACTTGCAGCTTGTAGCTTCTCACTTGCTCTCTTCGTCCACGTGGTTTGACAGCAAGGTCTCCTCGATCACGCACGCGTATCGCTCAAGAACCTCCTTGCTCACGTCCGCGTTGCTCAGCAGCCCAATCATCTTCTGCTCTCGTGCAGACAGGATCAGCACGGCAAACGAGGAGAGCAGCAGCAGCAGCAGCAGCAGCAGCAGCAGCAACTGGAGAAGAGCAAAACGATGATGACGAGGATAAGGAGGAGGGAGAAGGAGGAAGGGGGAGGAGCAGGAGCAGAAGGCACATGAACATTGAGCAGCACATCTCACCCGTAGAGCTGTTTTGGACGTGTTGAGATCTCGGACAGCGTCCATCACCTTGTCCAGCAGCTCCGGGGCTCCCCGGTTGCCCTCGAAGTGTTTGATCTCCTGATGAGAAATGAGGAGGAGAGGAGAAGAGGAGCAGAGGAAGAGGAGAGGAGGAGAGGAGTGAAGATAGTTCACTTCGATCATCGGAGGAAACTCGTAAGGTTCCATCACCGAACACTCCTATCAGGGCAAAATCAGAATGAAGGGTAGAAGGATGAAGGAATGAAGGTGGAGCAGGGAGCAGGCAACAGGGAGCAGGGGAGGGGAGGGGGGAGGGAGGAGGGAGGAGGGAGGAGGGAGGAGGGAGAGAGGGTGGCATACATCTAGCAGCGTTCGATATTCTACGATCTTGTCCATGGAGCAGTCACTCATTCGGCTCAATTTGACAACCTGCGGGAGGCAGTAAGAAGAGCGCAGGGAGTCTGACAAGAGATGGCGGGGCGTTGAGGAGGAGGGCAGGAGAGACGAGGGAGGCGGGGCAAGAGGAGGAGGGACGAGAGGACAAGAGGCAGGGAAGGGGAGTGAGAAAGAGACATTGCGGAGCGCGAGGTGGGTCGTGACAATCTCATCATTCGCATCTTCCAAGCAATCCTCCATAGCCCGCAGCAGCTGCTCCGACCAGTTCCTCCTCCCTGGTAGGAAAGCATCACAACTTCGTCTCCCTCTGCTGTCCTCCCTGCCTTCTTCAGCATGCGGCAGTTTAGGAGAAGCCGGCGCCTTGTCTCCTGCAGAGAAAGAGATCATGATTGGGCAGGCAGAGGACGAAGCATGCTCACCTGCTCGCTTCCCGGGGCTTCCGCTCACTCCTCGGGGAGATTCTCTTTTGGACGCTCGCAAGTTGACTCCTGCTCCTGCTCCTGCTCCTGCTCCTGCTCCTGCTGCTCCATGTCTTGCAGCACCAGCTCCTCCAGCGGCTACTACAGCAGTTGGTGGCTGGTTGTGGGGAGCAACGAGAGACTTCTGAAGAGGGGCAGCACGGTCTTCTACTCTCGGAGGTGCAGGAGAAGGAGCCCGTCTCTCTTCCCTTACAGCCTTCCTGCTCTCACTCTCCTCTCTCTCCGGTGCAGCCTTTCCCTCCTCCCACCTTCGCTCAGCCGCCTGCTGCTCATCGAGTTTTGTCCCCAAGCCCTCTTTGCCCTCCTCTGCTCCTCCAAGGAGGCCCTGCCCCGCCACCTCCTCCTTGAACTTCTGTGCGACCTGGCGTCATGCCAACAACAACCAGGTCCTCTGCCCCCTCACGCACCTGGTAGGAGGGGTTGCGGAGGTTGTCAGAGGAGGCGTCGGCGTACGCCAGTGCTTTCTTGAGAGCAGCCTTGACGACGAGGAGCGACTGGTTGCTCTCAGCGAACTCTAGGGCGAGGAGGGAGAGCTCTTCGTTCTGGTGCTGGGAAGGCCTCGCCTCCTGCCGACTCAGAGAGGAGGTGAGGTTGGAGACGTCCTGCTTGAGGGTCTCGACTTCCTTCATGAGCTTGCGGATGATGTCCTTCGGATACAGAGAGAGGAGGAGAAGAGGAGGAGGAAAGATCAGAGGAACAAGAGCAGGGGCAGGAGAGGTGAGCAGGGCGAGGTGCAAAAAAAGCGATCAGAGTCATGTTTTCCACCATCTCGCTCCTCGCTCTCTACCTGATGTTGATTGATCGTCTGAACTTCAGCTTCATGGCATTCCTGCAGATGCTGCACGCGCTGCGACAGCTGCGCCACGTCGACTCCTGCATTCCTCTCCAACTTCGGCTTTTCCGCGTCAAGCACTTTGGGCTTGTCTCCCTCCGCCTTGTTGGCGGCAGGGGCGGCAGGCGTGAGCTGATTCTTCGACATCACTGCAAGACTGCGATCAAACGCTTCTCGCGCTCGGTCCTCGTGCGAAGACAGCCCTGCCTGCTGACCGGGTTACACTGGCAAGGCAGTGGAGGAGGGTTGCAGGCGCCAGGACGAAAAACAAGGGGCAGAGTAAGAGGGAAAAGGGAGAGGAAGAGGAAATGGGGCATAGGTTGGAGGGAGGGGAGGATAACGACCGCCATGCGAGCAAACTTGACGTCTTGTCTCTGCATGCTCGGACTGCTGGGTCGCATCCCTGCGACGACAACTCAATCAGCATACGTCGCTATGGTGTTAGCTTGCGTGCAATCAAGTGAAACAATGATGGATTCATCCAGTTCGAAACAAGAGGAGCATGGCGGTAAAGGATTGCAGGTATCAGAGGCGTCACTTGCGTCGCTATCAAAGAGCACCTGGACTTGCACTTCGAGGCCTCGGATGGGTGGGACCTTCTCTACTTCCTCCCTCGCCGCTACTCCTCAAGCTCTTTCCTTGCGGCGTGCTCCTACTTTGAGGACCTCAGGAGATCCCGCTGACCAGTCACGACCTGACCTGCTCACGCTGGCAGACGTCCAGGGGCTGAGGGGAACGTCACGTGTCTGCTGCATCTACAAGTGCGTCACTTAGCAACACTGACATGACAGTCACTCGCTCACTTGCTCCTCCTGCGGCTGCGACGGCGCCTGGCTGAATGCACGCATCGGGCCCCTGGAGGCGGAGAGGACGCCGTCGCGCCTCTTCTCCTCCTGCCCTCGGCACCATCAACATCACAGTCCGAGGAGACGAAAGTCAGGGAGCTCACAGTTATCTTCAATGGCCTGGCAGGTGAGGAAGGCCTATGGTTGTTCTTTGGCATTCTGACCTGCGTTGAGAGCATGTCAGACACTGCGGTTCTGCCCATTCGTGCTTACGTTGTCCAAGATCAAGAGCTGCGGTAGCATGCCTGTCAGTCTGTGCCGATACCTGAACGAATTGGTGAGAGACAGGAGGGGAGCAGAGAGACGCGGGGGGAGGGGGGGGGGAGAGGGGAGCAGAGAGTAAAATCAAAAAGCATGGGAAGGCATGATGCTCCTACTGGGGTTTCTGCGCGCATGGATTTCCCTTCAACGACATCCAGGCCAACTTTGAGTTGAGGGAAAGGGTTCGAAGAGCTTCGACCTATTGGAATTCATCAACCATCCTTGTTGCGGGCCGGCAAAGCAGAACAGACAGTGCTGATCATGTTGTTGGACACATCCAAACGCTCGAGGTCCATGTTGCATTCAAGGTCGGAGATCACTTTGATCTCATTGTTCTGCAGTCTGTTTCGCATGCGTGAGTTGCAACATTAAAACATCACGTCAAGCAATCACGAGAGCTCTGTCAACGAGGTGCAGTGGTCTAGTCCTCGGAGGCGGGTGAGGGAGTTGTAGGCGAGGTTGAGGGACGTCAGGTAGAAGAAGTTTTCCAATCCTGAGATCTCACGGATGAGGTTGTGAGAGGCGTCCAAGACTACTAGAGAGGGCGGAATGCTTTCAAGCCTTGAGATGGAGTTATTGGAAAGGTTGAGTGCTGTAAGGGCCACGTAAGTGTTTGCCAGCCCAGTGGAGAAGGATAGGTTCCCTGAACACAGATCAGACCGATCTCTCCAGAGGACATACACTCACGTCCAGACAAGTCCAGCTCTGTACGATGGTCGACACGTGCCAGCAGATTGCCTTGAGCACGGAGGTTGCCCGAATGCCTCCGCTGTAGGGACTCATCTTCCTCCTCGTCCTCGTCTTGATAGCTTCCACTGTCATCAAAATTGTGTAGGACCATACTTCACGTTCAATATGCCCGGAACTGATCTTCTCTTCGACCCGTGTGTGTGACGCCCTTTCGTGGATATATTGCAGTACTATTCGAGCATACAGGAAAACCTGCTAAAAGCGATCCGATCATTTATCTGAGTTGAACTATAAAACGTGGTGGATTGAACGGGACTAGTCACATTCTGGCATGGATCGTTCTACATTCTGTTCTGAAGAAACACTCGTCTCCTATTAGCCGTTGGCTTCATCACTTTTGTATTTACTCCTATCCTTCTCTTGAAAGCCCTGAAACAACCTTCCCAGATCTATCCCTGTGTATCACCATGTCGCAACGTCCTCCTACGCTCTGCTCTCTGACACCTAACTGTAACCTCGCTCTTGATTTCCCCGTCCCTGCTCCTTCCCTCTCCTCCCCCATCCTCCCTCTCCACTCCCTGTCCCATGTTCGCTCTTCAAACTGAACTACCCCCACCCTCTTCAAACAATATGGCGTGTAGAGACTAACAAATAACGGTAGAAGTAACCGATAAAGGAATCACTGAGCCTGCCGCCCGGTGGCGGGCCGGGCCGGCCCAGTTGACGGTTACATTGAAACGGATGGATCGGAGCCAGCCGCCGACAGTCGGTCACGGGCCAGTCAGCAATGGATTCTTGACGGTTATTGAACCGTTTTGAATACAGGGAGGGGTGGTGGGTACTACCCCTTGCCGACGTGTGTAGTATGGAAATGGAAATTGATGCGAATACCCCGTGGTGATATTACAAAAGTTCCCTCAAAAGGTGGGTACTTTGTGACCACCCACAGGATATAAATTGTTGGGGTGGGTACTTTTCAAGGTGTTCTCCAGATTCGTCTTTTTCAATGGGGTCGGGAGATAAGGGGTCTTGCTCCTAGGGGGTAGGGGTGGGGTGGGAGTGAATTCGCAAGGCCAAGGGACGCCATGGGCTGCTGCGAAGGAAGGCCTGAGAAGCCTCCCCAGGAAGTGGCGGTGGTAAGAGCGCAATGGAGGATGTGATGACGAGAGGATGTGAAGTAGAGGCGGATGGTGGAGGATGGAAGGACGAGGGAACAGTGGTAGAGAGGCAGTAGGAGAGGAAAACTGGGCGGCAGGTCGCATCGCCACTGTGAGCGTGGAAGATGAGGTGGGGAGAAAAGAGGAGAGGAGATGGGACAGATGATTTAAGGCGGACATTAGATGAAAGCAAGTAAGTTTGAGGCAGTGATGAGTGCGAAGCTAGCATCGAGTCACATGATGAGAATGGAGATGCGATATTGTAAAAATGTCAAGAACTGCAATCTTGTTTTGCGTACTGCGTAGCACAAGATATTTATGCACTCGAACTTACTGGTGTCTTTGTGTCGACAGGATCCGGAGGAACGCAGAAAAGCGGCGGTAGCGGCTGCTGAAGCGAGGAATAAGCGCTTCTCAAACATGTCATCTGGATCAGGAGGGGCCCCTGCAGCGAAACCTGCTGCTAATGTATGCATCCTCCTCCATTCCGATGCTTCATGGTCTAACTTTGCTGCAGTCGTCAAATGAAGAGCAAAGGATAGATAGACTTGCAAAAGCGGGTGGATGTAAGATTTTCAATTCCTCCTCCCACCAGGAGATTGACGCCTTTCTTTGCAGCGGGCTGGGACTAGCGGTGCAGTGTATAGGAAAACCCTGGCACCGAAGAGCAAACATGATATTGTGGATGTTTAAAAGAAGTTAGAGATGCGATAGCAACCATGATCTCCTCTTGTCTATGATGCTCATGTGTCTTGTGGTGGCTCATCTAGCAGCTCAGCGACGCGGTCCAGAACTTCCTGCAGCATCAAGAGCTGCATTTCCTGTAGAGAGCAGAAAGGAGTGCAGTCAGGGACGATGTTATGGATGACAAGCACTCATTGGCTCACCGTGTCTAAAGAGAGCGGTTCGGTAGGAGCATGCGAGCACGTTAGCGGGCGTGTCAGGCGGAGGGTTGCAAGACCTGAGATGTGGCAACAACCTCCCTCAGACGCCTCCGGTGCTGAGCTCCTCGACAGATGCTCCTGCGCATCATCCTTCAGCTATGCAGATAGATCCTTGACTGAAACCGCACCCGCGAGACACTCCTTGACGGGTTGACGATCTCGTCTAGGAATTTTCTTCTTATGTTATGCTCCCACACTCCAGTCAAGTTGCTTTGCCGATCCTGCTCCACAGGAGCATGTTACACATTCGCACCCACTAGCTGTCCCCAGAACTCCACAACCTTGATGAGAATGAAACGGAGGACGTTGAGGCCGCTCATGAGGATGTCGAGTCTGATCCCGAAGCAGTCACGTGCGTCCGAGGGCAGGCAGGCAGGGGAAGGAAGGGTGGGTGATTGGCGACCTGTGTAGGAGAAGAGCCTTCTGGCTTGAGGAAAGGACCTCAAAGAGCAGAGAGACGGAGAGAGCGATGAAAGGAGTCCTCTTCGTGTCATGCTGGTATTGCTGCAACAGCAGGTCAGCGATGTTGACGTATCGTCGTGGTTTTCTTTGGTCACATCGATATCATGCTGTGACGTTGGCCACGAGTGCAGGATTTCGTCCTTGACGATGTTGAGAGCCACGGAAGTCACTGACGGGTACGGACATCGAGTGATCAAATCCTTCATCACGGCGAACCCTGAGGGAAAAAGTCAAACTTCAGCGACACGCCTGAGGGCACAATGACGTGGCTCCGGGGCCAAGACAGACGTGAACAGTCTGAGTAGCTTGTACGCCTTGTGCCTGGAGTGCTGCCTGTTGTCCGTCATACACCACCCTTGAGGGGGGGAGGAGGATCGAAAAGGAGACAGAGTAAGGAACCTCCCCAAAACAGCGAAGGGAACGGAGGGAGAAGGGATCCACGTACTCAGGCAGCTGCGTCATCGCTGTTGCAAGACCTTGAACGATCTGCATGCAAATCTGTCGATTCTTGCCATCGATGCCTGGCGTCCCCAGTTCTAGGTCTGTCTCAGCGAGCAGTTGACCATGCTCTTGCAGCACTGAAATCGGATCAACGACAAGGCAAGCCAACGCACGGACAGACCTTTGATGGTGAACTCAAGAAGCATGATCCCTGCCCGGACATGGTTTGACCAATGAGAGCTCAGCAGCTCTGAGATGCCCGGGAGGATCAAAACCCCTCGGAATCTGGATAGAGCATCAAGACATGCTGATTGAAACAAAGAAAGATGAAGTTTACCTTGCCGTCAAGAAGGGATGAAAGAACACCCGGTGGTTCGCATCGCCCAATTTAGACGATGATGATAGATATATGAAAAAACTGAGCGATCCAGCTCCTTCATACAGGTACTCCTTGTGATAGATGGCACAGTGACGAAGAAATCAAGGATCAACACGATGGTACCTTTGATGCTGGCAACTCCGTCCCCTCCGCCTCTATGCCATCATCAACATCCTCACACTCGTCAAGCTCTGCAAGAATTTGCTCCATGCTCTTCGACTCATCCATCATCCAAAAGGGCCTGCATACAATGTCATTGCTATCCCTACCGTGAAAACGCAGAGAAAGGCTAGGAGGTACCTCGAAGGGGGAAACAAAACGAACAGGATACCATTGGGCAGTGAGGCTACCAAGTCCAGCACCTCCAGAACCCTGTTTGACAGATCTTCTGTGTGGAAAACATTGGTCTTCTTTTTTTCAGCTTCCGGCATGAAGAACTCGGTGGAGACGATGGAAGACGTCCAGTACCTGCCAACTCTTGAAGTCACTACCCGGTCACAGGACGTAGCCAGAGATACAAGGCCTTCAGAAGGTCCTTGAGCACTTGGCAGATCATCTCATAACTTTCAGCATTCATGTCATCCAGAAGCCTCTGAAAGAACGTCTGGCAAGCTGGCAAGACAGCGTCAAAGAAGCCCTTGTTGAGGGTGAGGATATCAGCCGGAGCCAGCACATCGTGCAGAGCACTGTTTTGATCGCAGTGCATCTGGTCGGGAGAAGCAGGAGTTGATCGTTCTGCATTCAAGGATGAAGAGGCAGAAGAATGATCATCCATCTTGTCTGTTCTTGTGGAGAGACCGACAAATCGCCTATGGAGCATGGAGAGCAGGTCCTTCACAAAGATATGAAGTTTCCCTTTTGCCAGCTTAGGAAAGACTTGAGCGAGCATTTCAAGCAGTAATTGCTGCTGCCTGACATCCTTACATGCAATGTCATTTTTAAATCATCAACCACGTCACTGTCTCCTGACCTCGTACACGGCAAACACTTCCATCACCATCGAGAAAACTTCTCTTGGGTTTCCCAGACTTGCAACGAGGCTGCAGTCGGTTCAGCACTAAGAACGAGAGCATAGATCAAGCAATCATATCACATTAGGATGCCCCGTGCAGCCTCGCAGCATCGTCTGCACATTCTAGTGAGCACTGACAAAACCCCATCAAAATACGTACGGCTCGCCTATGACAAATGGGATCAGCACATGGATCAAGTCCCATCCAATGGATCTCAGGATGTCTAGCCTTGTTTTCAAGAAGTTGCATGCTTCAATGCAATCTTCGCACTTCCCGTTTCCCTGCAGTCCATCCTGAAGGCAATGGAGTACCTGGAGACTGTCGGGTGAGATGAACAAACCTAGACTTGAAGGACTCGCCTTCTCAAAATCCTCTTGTTCGCATCGCTCTGCGACTTCTGATAGTCTTGTGAGCAGCATGCAGTCGGTGAGAGTTATATGGCTGCGGAGAGACGAGCAACGAGAGCAAGTGCTGAGGGGACTGATACAAGAAGTCTATCATATTGGGGACTCAGGACGTGCTCGCTTCGCATCTTCGCATAACCGCAAGTGATCATGAATTCGAGGATGGTCTACATCAGCAAGTCAGTGCACAAGTATCTTCACCTCCATCAGCCTCTCCTGCTTGATCCTCGCGCCCCCCTACTTGCCTCCCCCACCTCTCCTAAGCTCGATCCTAACCTAGCCATGATCGGGCACCTCAGCTAAGATTTTTGTCGCCTTCACTCAAACTCGGACCGCATCCCGGCCGGGCCCGCCCGCCCGGGTGCAAGAGGTGGCGATGCCGACGGTTATATTTTTGATCTTTTGTAACGCCCGAGCTCCGGGCTGTCGGCTGTCGATTATAGAGCTCTTTTTAAGATTGAAAAAAGCTGAAGAAACACTCCACTATTTTAGTCATAGTCTGAGGTGGACCCGTAAGGATAGAAGAGGTTTTGCCATGTTCCTATATGAGTAAAACTCTCTATTAGAGCAATAGATGTTTGAAGCCTGACTCGATTTAAAATTTGAGGGTGGGCCCCAAATATTTCAATGGGCCGTGAAGGAGCAGGGAACATTCGACGAGCAGCGGCGAAGGAGCTGCGGGGGGTGCGGAATGATGGGGCCAGCAGGGGAGCGATGGGCGGGGTTTGAGCAAGAGTTAGGGAGCTGACTGGGTCTGAGTCATCAAAATGCAAGACGACATGAGTTGGCTGCCAAATTTCAAGGAAGAAAAATTGCGGAACCATGTGTTCTTCATCTTCAAAGAGGAACGTTTCAATCTAACTGCAACATTTTTGGGCGACCAGTTGTTGGTATCTGTGCGAAGCGTTTTCAGGTAATTATGCCATGCTAGATCACTTTTGCACCTGTGATGCTAATTTGGCAGCCATTGCATTGAGGGTTTGAATAGTCGTGCGAACATTGATTGTAGTTCCTACATGCGAATTCCGTGTATCTCAGGAATGGTTATAACACATAAGGTTGCTCAAGGAAAACAGCGTGGTCCTGAATCAAATAAGTCTTGGTTTGATATCAGACAGCTGAAAAAAGTTTTGATGCGATATCAAGAGTTCATCCGCCAACATCAAGAACACAATCTCGAACATTTTGCTTTGAGAGATTGGGTAGCTGAGTATTTACAACGAAACAACGACATCTTCGAAGGAGCTACCTTGCGAATTGAAAGAACCAAAGTGATAAATGAAGGGCTGACAAGAATTTTGATACAAGATGTATTCAAAGACGTCCATGACCCATTGCCTGAAGCCTCATCAAGTATGAACATGTTTGCTGCAGGTTTGCTTGCATTCCTCGCCATGATTTTGTTATCAGATGACAAAGAAATGTTTGGAAAATGTTTCGACAAGCTCCAAGGATTTCATAATCACCCTCAAAGCACCTGCTCCATCACAGGTAAGGCCGTACTTTGCATCAAGTGAATGCTCCACACACCCCGGTTCAAAATAAATTAACTGTTTGACTGCAGGCCCAGTTGAAATTTCTGGAACAGATGATAACAACACCGGCTCCTCAACGCGACAAGATCAAATCGACAGGAGACAAAAGAAAGTTTGCACACAAGCGGTACTTGTTTGTACAATTCGCGATGGATGTGATTAACCCTGAGTTGTGCAAGGTTGGAACGATTTTCAAGCAAATTCGTTCTAGCCACGTGTCAAGGGCAATAGAAAATGATCCCGATTGTGATGATAGTGACGACGAGGGTGACAAACACCAATTCATCCAGCAAGATGCTTTGGAGTACACAGGTGCTGTGAATCAAAACGATCAATTCTCCGACTCTTCGGCTTCAGGGAACGAAGAACAGGATGGTGAATTTTTGGCTCTGTTTTCCTCAACCATTGTTCTAACACTGCTTGATTGAAGAGGATTTGTCGGTGACAGTTGAAGATTTCGATCTTTGGGGCCGAAAGAAGACTTCGTTTTATCGGGTGATTGAAAAAGGAGATTGTTCAAATCAAGTCGAGCTGCGACTTGACCGATCAGTCGATGTCAATCTGAAATGTCATCAGCATGCGGGAGAATTTGCCATCAACCTGAAAAACCTACTTACTATTGTTTTTTCAACTCCAGATGATGCCAAAAAGAATGAGGAAGAAATCAAAAATCGGGGCTGTGAATATTTGAATAATCCATGCCCTATCTCAAACACGATTTGTGTCAATTTAAAAAATATTCCAAGCCTCATGGCACAGCTAAAGGAAAAATCAGAAATTGCATCAAAATTCTGTGAATTCCATAGGTCTGTTCAAGAAATAGACCGTTGCATAAATGTCAGCGAGCATTTCGAGCGATTTGAGGCACCTTGCCCCCCTGTGTCATTGATGTTCGGTGGACCTTGTGGAGATCTTGTTGAATGCGAGTTATCAAACAACGCCGAAAACAATTCTAACATTCCAATCCACCAGAACCACGACACAAATGGATTCAATCAAAACAAACGTGTTTCAAAATCAAACACAGGGTCAAGGCAAGCTCGCGAGGTCGACAGCGTGAGGGAGCAAGAACCCAACTCTGAGGACGCCGCCGGGCTAGGACAGCAGACCCAAGGCGGCTTGTCTACAGAAGCCTCGACAGGAGCTGCGTTGAAGCCTGCTTGCGATGCCCGAGTCGGGGGCGTGAGTGAGCGAGGACGTGAGGCCGATTCAGGGCAGCCTGGGTCGAAGAGCCAGCGAGAACCCGAAGCTGGGCCAGGACAGCAGATACAAGGCGGCTTGTCCACAGGGGCCACTTTGGAGCATGCTGAGAGGGTTTGTCTGGGTACCGGTTCCGTAATGATGGAAGACAGTACATTGATAAATCCCCCTGCGGAATTCTTTCAAGATTTGTCAAAGCACCATCACGGAATGCAACATTGGATTGCGGGTATTGATCGAATGGTGAAGCAAGGATTGGGTAATGTCTTGCAAAAATTGAAATCGATGGAACAAATGCTTAATGAGAGAGTGACCTCAGCTCAAAAGGAGACGAGAGAACTAAGACAAAGACTGGAGCTCCAAGAATCAAAAGAGCGTGTCAAAATGAAAGCAATTCAAAATCTGAATCAACGTCAGGGAGCAACAGAGCAGAAGATCTGTGATCAAACAGCTGTAAACAATGATTTGAGCAACAAGATTGAGACAAATCTTGAAAAGATAAATAACTTGTCGCAAAGGCAACAAACAATACATTACAATTGGTATACTTTTGAGAACCAAATAACTACACGAGTACAGGCATCAGAGCAGACCCTGCAGAGCTCGCTCCAGACTGCAGAGCGGACGATCCGGGACGAGGTCACCAGCAAGCTACAGGCGTCAGAGCAGACCCTGCAGAGCTCGCTCCAGACTGCAGAGCGGACGATCCGGGACGAGGTCACCAGCAAGCTACAGGCGTCAGAGCAGACCCTGCAGAGCTCGCTCCAGACTGCAGAGCGGACGATCCGGGACGAGGTCACCAGCAAGCTACAGGCGTCAGAGCAGACCCTGCAGAGCTCGCTCCAGACTGCAGAGCGGACGATCCGGGACGAGGTCACCAGCAAGCTACAGGCGTCAGAGCAGACCCTGCAGAGCTCGCTCCAGACTGCAGAGCGGACGATCCGGGACGAGGTCACCAGCAAGCTACAGGCGTCAGAGCAGACCCTGCAGAGCTCGCTCCAGACTGCAGAGCGGACGATCCGGGACGAGGTCACCAGCAAGCTACAGACGTCAGAGCAGACCCTGCAGAGCTCGCTCCAGACTGCAGAGCGGACGATCCGGGACGAGGTCACCAGCAAGCTACAGGCGTCAGAGCAGACCCTGCAGAGCTCGCTCCAGACTGCAGAGCGGACGATCCGGGACGAGGTCACCAGCAAGCTACAGACATCAGAGCAGACCCTGCAGAGCTCGCTCCAGACTGCAGAGCGGACGATCCGGGACGAGGTCACCAGCAAGCTACAGGCGTCAGAGCAGACCCTGCAGAGCTCGCTCCAGACTGCAGAGCGGACGATCCGGGACGAGGTCACCAGCAAGCTACAGGCGTCAGAGCAGACCCTGCAGAGCTCGCTCCAGACTGCAGAGCGGACGATCCGGGACGAGGTCACCAGCAAGCTACAGACGTCAGAGCAGACCCTGCAGAGCTCGCTCCAGACTGCAGAGCGGACGACTCAGAACGAGGTCACCAGCAAGCTACAGGCGTCAAGGCAGACCCTGCAGTCCTCCTTAGAGTCTGTTTTCAAGAACTTCTTTCAGACCGTGTTTTCATCCCAAAAAGCATCGTCAGAATCTATGTCAGAACACTCGCTTCAACGTAGCGTGCAGCATTTAGTGCGAATTGCTTTTGAGCAGGTGCAAACAGCAATTTTGAATCAGGAAAGTGAGCAATCGTTTGTTCTACAGTCGGGATTTTCTAGTGTTTTGCAAACAGACGAAAGCAACCGTTATGGACATGGTCGAGATATCTCTGGAGACGGCGATGCGTTGCACGACGGAGGAGAAGGCTCATCGCGGGACCGACCGCATCTGGGGCGGGAGCAGGGCCAGTCATTGGGAGAGCCCCCGTCTCCCGTCGCCTCAGATCAAAGGCAGGCTCCCAGCGTCGCACGGCCGTTGCGCGAGATCCCAAGTTCCACCCCTGCCGTCAACGTCAACGGGGCATCTACGGAGGCAGCTGTGCCGGCAGGGGCGGAGGTGCAGACGGCAGCTGCAGCGTTCCTATCTACCCCGGCAGGGTCTGGACAAGAGGGCGGTGATATTCGCTGGTCGGAGCTGCTTGAGTGGACTGATAGTCTTGTGATCAGGTGACAGGTCGACACGATCAGCCAGTCCGTCAACGTTGGATCCATCCCGACCAGGTGACTGTCACGTGCTATGCGCTGAGATATCTGTTGAACTCTCGTCTGGTCCATCAGCAAGTCAACCCGTCGTCGCTGAGGTTGCGAGCTCACCGCCTGTCGGAGGGGAAGCGCTCAGGCGATCAGCTCCTGTCGAGCAGCGAGAGGGTCATAGTGAGCATGGCAGCACGAGAGGACACGAAGACACACAACATCGGAGGAGGCGAGGGAGGCCGAGGAAAATACAAACTGAGAGCAACGATACCACAGCAGCCATGAACAGAGTCGACCCCAGCAGGGTATCTAGCAAGGCGATCAACAGAGACAACGAAAACAACCGCCACCGTGACCTTGCGGAGGAAGGAGATATCTCTGGAGACGGCGATGCGTTGCACGACGGAGGAGAAGGCTCATCGCGGGACCGACCGCATCTGGGGCGGGAGCAGGGCCAGTCATCGGGAGAGCCCCAGTCTCCCGTCGCCTCAGATCAAAGGCAGGCTCCCAGCGTCGCACGGCCGTTGCGCGAGATCCCAAGTTCCACAGCTACTGACATGAATCTTGATACTCGTGTGAAGCGAAGGAGGATCGATGGACATGGCAGGCTCAATGGGTCGACGAGCCGTGAAAATACTGTAACCGTGAGGAAACGAGGGAGGTCGTCGGACTGTGATGAAGGCCGAGCTGGCACTGAAAATGCATTGCCATCCCAAGGTCGCGGCAGGTCCATGAATTTCAAGAAGAAGCAGTCATCGGGTAAGTGCCGATCGAGTGAGGCGTGGGTGTTTTTCTCTGACATGTCAACCTGGGCAGTTGTGCGTGAGGAAAGCTGCTCCAAGGCGTTTGTGGATGAGCTGAGCAATGAAGAGGTGGTCATGTACCTTCTGGAATGCTTTGTAAGAGCCAAGAAGAAGCGGCGTACAGTCGATCACTTCTACAATCACAGCTGGTCGCCGAACCTCGAACAAGTTTGGAAAACCAGGTTCAAAGACACGCACCCCAGGGAAATGAATTGCAAGTTTGTGAGCGGCTCAGTGGTCGGAGTTCTTTACCAGGAAGAGTGGAGGGAAGGGAAAGGAGAATGGTACATCGGGAGAAAGATCAGGTCAGATTGGAACCATTTCCAAGCCATATTCACTGATTGCGAGGTAGAGACGTTTAACCTTGCGGAGGAGAGCACGATTCTTGAGAATGCTCCACGCAATGAACAGAAGGGTCAGTTCTTCGACGTCTACCGGGATGATAAAGTAGCAACCTTGTTGCCTTTTGTTTCGGAAATTCGTGAATTCTTGATCGACTCGTTCGTCCTGAAGGAGATCCACGAATCTGAATGATAAAGATAATGTACAGCATTACTGAGTTAGATGATTACTTGGACTGTGTAAGCTGGTGAACAAAGGAGCGTTTGCAAAAGCTTCGTCATGTTAACGTGTGCTCCGACCACATTCCTTATATTAGCCCTCCCGACTAGTCACCCTCCCTCCCAGACAAACGTCGATACAAGGAGTCGTCGAAAGGATGAGAAGGAAGTTCTTGCCATCCTCGGCTGTCGATCAGGCGAGAGAGGACTGATCGAGCAGCGGAGAGAACGAGTGGAGAGAGGAGAGGGCGAAGAAGAAAAGGAGCAGGAGAGGGCAGATGGACAGGAAAAAGAAGAAGTGCTTCAACTGCTAATGTCATAGTGAAAACGCAGGAACGATCATAGTGCTAAAGACAAGAAAGAAACAGACTCTACCTGTCCTCCTACCTGCTGCAACAAGAGCTTCTCAGATTGCACAGCGTTCTGTCCTCCCTCCTCGCCCCCCTCGGGCCTTCCCCTTAACTTCGCCCTTCCTCTCGCCTCGCCTCTCGACTGTACTGTATGGCACTCGCTTATAGACCCTCCTAACTCTAGACGCGTTCCTCCTCTCGCCTCCTCTCCTCTTGCCTCGGGCCGTCTCTCGCCGCTCGTCTCCTGTCACGGTTCACCGCACCTTCTGCCTCTTTTGCCGGCTGCGCCGGGCCTGACGCGGCGTCAAAAGTAACGCTTTTAGCCTCTCCTTTCCTCTTCTCTCCTGTCCTCTCCTTTGCTTTCCATTCCTCTCCTCTCAGTCCTCTCCTCTCCTCCCCTCCCCTCTCCTCTCCTCTCCTCCTCTCTGCTCGCATCTCTCAGTCATCACAGAGCCGCTTGAGTCTCACAGATCCGGAGAGCCCAGCCACTGAGCTAAGCTGGGCCCGAGCGCGCGGCTAGCAGCCCGAGCGCCAGCCTGACATCCTCAGGCAGGCTGGGGTGCCTGAGTTCCGCCCCTCACCGTGGCATAGTAGTGGCCCGCGCCGAACCGCACTCAGCGCCAGGCTGTGACAGTCGAAGCGGCGCGGGGTCGCGCCTCAGGGCCTTGGTCGGACTACTCAGTGACTCAGCCGCAAGGCTACTTCAACAGCCCGGCCCGGCGGGGTGACAGTGGGCTGAGCCATCAGTGATACTTGAAAGAGAAGGTGACTAGACTGCCTGACTTTCAGTCTGAAAAGTCAGAGAGATCGGGCTGAGTTGCCAAGTCTGACTCCCCCGGCCCCGGCATCGTAGTAACCCTCCGAGGCTCGGCCTCATTAAAGCGTGACTGACTCGCCGTGAGCCTCGGATGATCCGCCTGACGGTCAGCCGGGGGGGCCCGCTGGAGCCCCGGGCCCCGCGGAGCACGGTCCGACTCAGAGGGCCTGAGGTTACCCAATCATTCCGATCAGCCAGCTCGTACTGATCTGGTCTTCAGTAACGAACTCGGAACTTCCAGTTCGGAAGGCTCTGAGACTCAGCAACTTGGCAAGTTGCGGCGCTCCGGGGCCCGGGGCCCACATCCCCAGCCCGGGCCTGCCAAAATTATTATTTTTATTTTTATAAAACTATTTTATTTAGGGGGACATGTCATAGAAACAGAATCTTCAAAATTGTTTTAAGTCATCCTAGGAACCTGGAAACGATGCGATTTTGGGGTCGTTTAAAATGCTGCAAACATCAAATAATTATTTTTGGCTTCCAAATATAGAAACTATTTATCGATTGCGACACACTTAAAGGCCGCTCAATCCTTATAGTCAAGGAGAACTTTTTGTAGTCAATCATCTAACGGCTAGAAAGTGAAGGTTTTTACAACTTGGAGCTTTAAAACTCAGGAGAATGGCAAGCTCGCCTCAGAAACGCTGCGCAGGTTTCATAATGAGCTCTATGCGGAGCAGCGAGTCTGACATGTAACGAGAGCCTTGGGGATCCGACTGGGGGCTCTCATACCTGGCAGCTGTACGAATAGAATGCGAAAACCTTGGTGATTTCAATCATCACCAAGTTGTACAGAGCTGATGCAGTTCAGCGATGTATTGATTACAATGAGTTGACTGAAGCCTTTTCTCAAAGGACGTTACTGATAATAAGGCTGTTTGTTTCGGGGCCTTGACAGGCTGATGCCGTGCTTTCTACACCCTGCCTTTGAAGTCCATCAGCAGCCTGGAGATTGTCTTTCTTTTTTAAGTCAAGAGGTCAGACTGCAATATCAATTCATCTGGTCAAAAAAACTTGCTATGGTCGTCTTGCTTCAGTAAATGTGGGAATCGTTATCTCGCTCTATCATGGGGATCGTATTCGAAATCACAATTCTCCTTTTGATCATCTTCCCTTCTGTTTCTGCTCCACGTGCATCTTCATGGCACCCTCCATGCACCCGGGCAAGACGACGCTGAGTATGTCCACGTCAGTGTTCACCTCACGTCGCCTCCCACTGCTGCACAGGGTGCTTCCTCTTCATACACACTCCAGAAGCATCTCCTCCGGGTAGTCCCTATATCTCACTTCCGCCCTCCCCTTCCGCGTTCCCTCCCTCCTCGTTTTCCCCTGCTCGCCCTCTGCTCCTCCCCGTTGCTCAGCCCTCATCCCCCCTCCTCCTTTTCCCGCACTGCTAAGTTCTCTAAAATAGTTTTAATTACTACATATTTTTAAAGGCATTTATAAAACTCGCTGGCAACCGTCGCTACTCGTCGGACCGGTGGTATATGTTTTCGGATGGGGTGAAAGTAACAACAGGGTACTCCAAACAGGTTCTTGAGGGCAAATAATTGCAGTATCGCCTTATTTATTATAGGAAGAATTAGAAAACTGCGAGTATGTGAATATGATAAATCCAACTACCTAGAGATCAATTCATAGTACCCCGTATCTTCTTCAGTAAGGGTTTGGGGTAGTTGAACAGAGCGAAAAGACTTTATTTCGATCAGTGCGACCCACATCTGTAGCAAGCGAGAGAGGGACAAGAATGCAGCAAGGGATGCGGCTCGAGCAGCACGATGAGGGACAGGGGCGGGAGAGGAGGACGAACGGAGGGAGGGAGGGAGGGAGGGAGGAGGGGATTGAAAAGGAGTCCATAGAGACCATGCGAACCAATATGAAGGAGGGAGGACGAGACAGGACGAGACAGGACAGCACAGGATGGATGGTAAAATGCAAATGGCGACTGAGCAGCGCAAGAAACCTTTGAAGGCTGGAGGTGATTTTTAGGTCAGGACTAGCGTCGAAGGAAGTCATGGCAACAGTTCGATAGTCTGTGCCAACAAACAAGGGAAAGAAGAAGTTTGCTTGCTTGGAGCAACGAACTCGATTTTTATGTTTTGGCAAAGCAATCAGCTAAGATAGATGGAGATGGGTGGTCATTCGATGAAGAGGAGATGGGATGATAATACAATTCTTCTGATAGATCCTATCAACGCAAGAGGTAGCTTGTCTGGCGAGTAGATGTTGATGAGAAGAAAACGACTCTGAAAATAGCCATTGTGGAAATGTATATGGTACCTTATTAGACTTCTGACGATGTCACAGATGATATCATAGAGCCATGAATTGACATCGCCAAAGACGCATGACTGTCATGCTGTTGCGCAACACTTGCACTTAGGCCACGAGGGCGTCAGAGCGATGGGAGGGAACAGGTCTGTCTGCGAGATCTCAACGTCGGACAGTCTCTTTCACGGCTACTCTCACATCACCAGCTGCAAACCTCAGGCTCTGCCTATCGCGCCCTCCAAGTTGGAAGGCTGCACCAAGGGAAAGAGGAGCAAGGAGTTGGATGGCACCGCCGCCGCTGGCTCCTCCGCCTCCACCGTGCCCTCCCTCGCCTCCCTGCTCAACGGGGGGCGGAGCCAGAAGAACACGAAATCTAAGAAGAGCCTTGCAAGGGAGGAGGCGGATGTACATACAATCGGCGATTCCGCAGGTCATGCGGATCATGAGGAGCTGGGTGAAAGCAGATCCCGAAGAAGCAGCGGAGGGTTGAGCGTGGCTGAGTTGACCCAAGAGGAGAGCAGGACTGAGGCGATCTCCAAGAAGGAGCTGCATGAATGGTTCGGCGTCGGGCAGAAGAGAAGCGCCGAGGATGCGGTTCCCTTGCAGAGCAAGAGCTTGCAGTCTGGCGGGCAGGAGGGAGCAGAGGATGCAGGTCGGCCGTTAAAGAAGTTCCTGTCTGCAAGCGAGGGGGCAACTACCGTATCGGATGCCCCGGTGAAGCTTGAGGCGTCGTCCTCCTCAACCTACTCGATGCTCAAGGACGTCCGGTGGGAGAGGAAAGGACAGCCCTTTGAGTTCCTCAAGGCAGAGGAAGCAGCTGCTGCGAGCATGCCGAGCAACTGGAACCCTCGGCCATCCTTCGGTAGCGACCCTGCGAGCATGGCGAGCTATGGCATGAGCGCTTCTCTTGCCCATCAAAGGTTTCACATGCAGGGCATGGGGTTTTCTCAGTTCCAGGGAACCAGCAGCTTCCCTTCCCCGCACAGTCAAGAGCAGCAGGCGTATGCGATGCGGGGGGGGCAGGGGCATGTTTCCTATGGGGTACCTGAGCTCGGGCAGATGCTGCCGATGCAGCAGTCGTTGACTGGCCCAGCTGTTCGCAGCATGCAGATGCCCTGGATCAGCTCGCAGTTCCTGCACCCGCAGAGCTTCTCCTACGGCTCGACCGGGGGGGCGCCGATGGCCATGGCTAATGGGCCCGTGCGAGAGGATGTGTTCGTCTCGCGCCCCTCCCCTTCTCCATGTGGCAAGATTCTGCTGTCAGCTTTCAGGCTCCTCCTTTGAGCTCTACCACACAGGTAAGATAGTACAAGACACTCCCTCCCTCCTCCCTCCTCCCTCCTCCCTCCTCCTCCCTCCCTCCTCCCTCCTCCCTCCTCCCTCCTCCCTCCCTCCCTCCCTCCCTCCCTCCTCCCTCCTCCCTCCTCCCTCCATCCATCATCTCACTTCCCTCTCCATCTCCTCCGTCGCTCAACTAACGACGCATCGCAGCTCCCCAAAGATTCTGCCCAGCAGGAGCTGGGGCGGCACAGCAAGTACTGTCACTTCTGCCAGCACGTCAAGAGCACCATGGCCGCCTGCTCATCTCCTCAGTGTACCTTCAAGTTCTGCCACAACTGCATCAGTGTTCACCTCATGGAGGACTGGGATGCCGTGCTGAGAGCTGAGCGAGACAAGTCATGGAAATGCCCCTGCTGGTACTTTGGGTCTCCCGCCTCTGCCCTTCCCCTTACACTCCTGTTGCCTGCTGCTGCATCTCCTCCTCCTCCACCCCCTCCTCCTCATCTTTCTTCGCACTCTCCAAGCTTATCGCTTGTCTTGCGTCCCAATGGCTTGTTGACGTTTTTGCAGCCGGTACCGATGTTGCTGCTGCTCCTCCAAGGCATGCACAGCCAAGCATCCGCACTGCAAGGCCTACAGGAAGCGGCAGCAGACGCGAGTGAATGTGGTGGAGGGAGGAGAGTAAGAAGAAGAAAGTTAGTCTGCGAGGAGGAGAGGATGTGGAACCGAGCAGATGAAGGAGAGGAGGCGACGCCCTCAGATGTAAGTTTGATGTAAATTACGAGCTTGTGGCCTTGCGGTTGTTCTACTTGTAATGAAAGGATAGAATCCTCGATCAGCTGCTGTGCACGGGGAGGAGAGAAAGATGGGCGGGTGAGGTTGAGACGATGAAATTGGAGACGGTGTGGAAACATGGAGGAGAGAAGAGATGAAGGGGGCCTAGGAGGAGTGACCAGAAGGAAGAGGAGGAGGGGAGAGGGTCACATGTTGAAGCTCTCGCTCGTCTTCTCCTTTGCCTCCTGCACTTTGCTGATCAGCTCCTTGTACACTCGATGAGCCTGCTGGGTCCTCGGGTGGAGGAGACCTTGAACCTGGTCAACACGCGTGAGGGGGGGGGGCGGGGATCACGGAGGCGTGTAGGGGCTGCATAGAGCGCTCAGGAAGCCAGAAAGAGGAGAAATTACGAGGAAGAGGAGGAGGAGGAGGAGGAGGAGGAGGAGGAGGTGGTGGTGGTGGTGGTGGTGGTGGAGGAGGAGGAGGAGGAGGAGGACGAGGAGGGG